GAGGAAGCCAGCGTTTGCCCACAGACAGCTTTTCTGGGTCATGTGTCCAGCATGACTAATGGTGCAATGGAACACCGTGATGGAAACCAGAGTGCACAGAAATGCTGTTTACCTTCCCGTCGCAGCAGTGCTTATTTATCTACTTGCACTGATGTGCTTTCAAACTGCAAGGTTGGCAGGGGCTGGGACAGAGCAACAGGAGCTCACCCTATTGCGGGGATTTGAACAGCTGACCTTCTGATCGGCAAGCCCAAGAGGCTCAGTGGATTAGACCACAGCTCCACCTGCGTCCCTCAGGGTCCCTTCCAACTCTGCAATTCTATTACTATTACTAATAATTTAACTCTTATCAAGTACCTAAAATGTTCTGAGTGCTGCATATATATTAAGTAATAAAACAGTCCCTGCCTGCAGGCTCATAAGCTAATAGACATAACACAAAACTGCATGAAGAGCGCAGAGAAAAGTAAGCACTGGATCATTTGCTCCTTCTTTGACCAGTGGATGAGGCCCAGTGGTCCTAGGGCAAGAGTGAGAAACTTCAGGCCCAGGGCTGTCATTCATTCTCAACCAACCTACCTCAAAGGGTCGTTGTGAAGATAAAACGGGCAGCCGGAGGAGAGCTACAGTTCGCATGCCACCTTGAGCTGGGGAAGAGGTGGGATATAAATCTAAAAATTAAATAAGACAAAAAGAAATGTAGCAGACCCAAGTATTTTAAAGCGACGAACATATGTTGTGTTTAAGTGTACTCTCTTTAAACAGCAGCAGAGGTCGTCAAAGTAAACTTTGCCCCTTTCCTGTGTATTTTATGCAAATAACAGTAGTCACGCTCCCCCCCCTCGCCCGCCCTCCACCACCAATGGAATTAATTTACAGCACAATCTTATGCACATTTACTTAGGAGCAAATCGCTCTGGCGCCAATGCAAGTGTACACAGGACAACAGTCTGAGAATTAAGTCATCAGGAATGATGACTACCAAGAATCAACACCAGGTGATCTGACTCTGCTCCCATTTGTGGTCTGGATTTATTTATTTACTCTTTTTTATCACTAATACTACTATCAGTTGGAGTCCAGGGTGTACACTTTCTCTTATATAATATGCCACACAGTTAACAATGTTCTGCTAAAACTGAAGAATAAAGCCACATTGATACATTTAAGGCACGAAAGTGATGCTACTTTAGTCATGGCTTCCACCAAAGAATTCTGGGTGCTGAGAGCTAATCAGAGGCTTCTGTTCCCCTCACAGAGCTATAATCTCCAGAGTGGTTTAACAATCAATCCCTCTTCCCAAGGAACTCTGGGAATTGTGCTCAGGTCTCCTAACAACTCCCAACAACCTTGACAAACCACAGCTCCCAGGATTCTTTGAGTGAAGGCATGATTGTTTAAAGCAGAGGTTTTCAAACTTTTTGAATCTATGGCTCCCTTGACCAACTACATTCTTTCTGCAGCACCCCTGTGGGGCTCAGGAGTCCAGTTATGTCACCCCTTGCCTGCAGAGCTGGCAGCCTCTCACCCCTTTTCAAACACCCTCTCTCAGCCTCCTTTCCTCTCCCCTCTCCTTGGAAGTCCTCTGAGCAGCCACAGCTGCAGCCTCTGGACTCTGAGCTCCCCCCCCCACCGCAAAGAGAGGTGCCTCCTCACCCTGCCCCACAGGGGCCTGGGAAGCACCCCCTGACCAGCCCCAGAGGCACCATTCATTCACCTGGGGAGCTTGTAGCCAGGGCTGCTGCAACAAACAGCCACACAAGCCTTTGGGAGACAAAGATGCTAGAGGGCATCTGAAGAGGCAGGGAAGGAAAGGGGGATAGAGTCCAGTGTTGCCTGTGGTACCCCTGACCAGCATTCAAGGCACCCCAGGGTGCCATGGCACACTGGTTGAAAACCACTGGTTTAAAGTACTTCCAGTGTATGGTGTGAATATGGCCAAAGACAAGATTATAACCTGGGCTGGGTGACTATTTCTTTGTTTTAATCTGTTGTATACTGCCTATGTGCCTAAGCACCCTGGTCAAATTTCACACCTATTAATATTACTGTATGAATATTCGCAGTACTAGTTGAATATTGCAACTCCCCAAAATCCCAGAGATAGTCACCTCAGCAGTGGGAGTTCCTCCCCACGGAGGTGTGTTCAACGCCATCATTGCATGCACCTCTATGGGTTGGCAATTCCACATACAGTGGTGCCTCGCAAGACGAAATTAATCCGTTCCGCAAGAGTCTTCGTCTAGCGGTTTTTTCGTCTTGCGAAGCAAGCCCATTGACGGATTAGCGCTATTAGCGCTATCAGCTGTTTAGCGGCTATTAAAGGCTTAAAGGCTTAGGGGATTAGCTGCTAAAAGGCTATTAAAGGCTATTAAAGGCTTAGCAGATTAGATAAAGGGGGAAAAGCGAAAAAAATCTCAAGACTCGCAAGGTATTTTCGTCTTGCGAAGCAAGCCCATAGGGGAATTCGTCCTGCGAAGCAACTTCAAAACGGAAAACCCTTTCGTCTAGCGGTTTTTCCGTCTTGCGAGGCATTCGTCTTGCGGGGCACCACTGTAACTCAGTTTGATATGCCCATTAATTTCAATGAGTCTGCTTTGCATAGGACTGTATTTGTTGTTTAGTCATGTCCAACTCTTTGCATAGGACTAGCATTGGCTATTGACCCTACTGACTGATATGCAGCTATCTAACAAAACTCACACTTATCTGGATTTAATGGTGCCCAATAACGAACATAAATAAGGTATATATTTGGAAACATTGCAATGATATTAGAGAAACTGCTTGCAAAAATATGTATATTAAGGGAAATGTGCGCTCAAATGCTGATTGATTTTGATGAGGACTTTTCTTCTTATTTACATAAAAACCCAAGGCTGTCATCATGCACTGCAGTCAGCATTTGTGAAGATTCAAAAAACAATAAGACACGAACTGATGCAGAAATGTAGCAAACTGAAGATCAGAAATGTGACAAAATGAAACAGGCATATATGCCCATCCCTAGCTGTGTCATTTAAAAAAGAAATCACCCCCTTTTCATCTTAATTACGTTAGTAACTTTTTATGTTGTGCTGTGTGCTTTAGAAATCATTGTGCCCTTTTTGCCTGTTTGCTTTATGCGTTTATTTAAAACGTTTCTGTCCCACGCTTGGACAGAAGTCCATAAAGCAGCTGACAAAGTCATTAAAAATAACACCGATAAATCCATAAAAATTGCATCAAACCAATAGAAAGAAGCATCTGGAGAAAGAATGGCAGCAGTAGGAGAAATTATTCAATTTGTCCGTCTTAATTAAATGCCACTCAAAAGCCTGGATAAATAAAACCCATTTTACCTAAAAGCTATTTATGGAGGCAGCAGATGGACAGAGGAGGAAGGATGGAGTGATAAACATCCCAAATCCCACAAATGCTGGTGATAACCTTAGATGGAGGAGGACCAACTGTGGCTCAGCGGCAGAGCACATCTTTAGTGAAGACAAGGTCCCACTTAGCTCCTGAGTAAATCTGCAACTTGCCAGCGGCAAGCCTGCTGGGGCAGCAGCCAAGGCAATCTCCAGGGCTGGAGTCAAAGGCGACTATGGGGTTGTGGTGCTCATCTCGCTTTCAGGCTGAGGGAGCCTGTGTTTGTCCACAGACAGTATTCTGGGTCATGTGGCCAGCATGACTAAACCACTTCTGGTGCAACGGAACACTGTGATGGAAACCAGAGTGCACAGAAATGCCGTTTACCTTTCCGCCGTGGTGGTACCTATTTATCTACTTGTACTGGTGTGCTTTCAACTGCTAGGTTGGCAGGGACTGGGACAGAGCAACGGGAGCTCACCCCATTGTGTGGATTCGAACCGCCAACCTTCTGATTGGCCAGCCCAAGAGGCTCAGTGGTTTAGACCATAGCACCACCCGCATCCCAACTTAAAGCTCTTACACATAAGGCACACTAGTGACATCTTGAGACGAGCAAACCCTGGGTAAATGAAGCCTATCTTGGTTTGCTGAATTCTTGGGCCGTGGATGCTACCAATAAAGTCTGGATTTCGTTTCAGGGTGGGGTGTGGGGAGCTCATGGGTATATGGGGAGAAAAAATCGGGTAGGCAGAATTTAGATTGGGTTTGTAAATGCACCTCGTTTCTTCCAATCTAGGGGAAATCGCTCAGCTTATTCCCTGATCCCAATCTGACGTGAGCTAATTTGCCCGTCGCTGCTGAGCAAATGTGAATAGGCTTAGGTTACATGTCACAAATTCATTTGGGCTCTGATGATTTCTCAAGTTCATTTCAGCATCCTGTACTCTGAACATTTCTGTACATTTAGCTGGAGAGAACATGAGCAGAGGTAATAAATGCCTCGCTGTATTTAGGAACATTGGAATCTGTGTTGTAACATATCAGACAACCAGTCCATCTGTCTCAGTATTGTCTGCACTGAGGACTCCAGCTCTCCAATGGGATTTACTCCCATCGCTTTAACTGGAGGTGAACTGAGGGCGTTTTTCATGCAAAATATGTATGGATCTATCCCAATCTATATTTGGAAAGAAAACTGCTTTGAGAGAAAGGGAGAGAGGTTGAAAAAGAAGTCTCTGACTTACAAATATAAGAACATAAGAAGAGCCTGCTGGACCAGGCCAATGACCCATATAGACAGTGTGGTGTAGTGGTCAAGAGTGGTAGACTCGTAATCTGGGGAACCGGGTTCGCGTCTCCGCTCCTCCACATGCAGCTGCTGGGTGACCTTGGGCTAGTCACACTTCTCTGAAGTCTCTCAGCCTCACTCACCTCACAGAGTGTTTGTTGTGGGGGAAGAAGGGAAAGGAGAATGTTAGCCGCTTTGAGACTCCTTCGGGTAGTGATAAAGCGGGATATCAAATCCAAACTCCTCCTCTTCTTCTTCTTCATCTCACAGTGGCCAACCAGATGCCTGTGGGAAGCCTTCAAGCAGGACCCAAGCACAAGAACACTCTTCTCCCAAGGTTTCCAGCAATAGGCATTCAGATGGATAGCTCAGCTGCTAGAGCATGATACTTTCAATCTCAGGGTCGTGGGTTGGAGCCCCACCTTGGGCAAAAGATTCTTGCAATCCAGGGGGTTGGACTGGATGACCCTCATGGTCCCTTCCAACTCTACAATTCTGTGGTTCTACGGTAAAAGCATTACTGCTTCTGAACATGGCTGTAGAGCATAGCCATCATGGCTAGTAGCCATCACTAGCCCTCTGTGAATTTGTGTAATCTTCTTTTAAAGCCATCCAAGTGAGTAGCCATCACTGCCACAGTTGGAAAGCAGCTCCCTGTGTTTCCTATACATGATCATTTAAGCCAATTTGTAGAGGAGGGACTATGTTTGTTGTGTGACCCACACAACCGTAGCATAGCTGATAACCATTGGCATCATCCCATCGTAGGGCCCCTTCAACCTCTCCAACATGCTAATCCATTCTCATTGAGATTTGTTCTCTGTCACCCCAGCAAGACCTGCCTTGGCTTCTGGGTCAACCATGTGAATTCCAAAGGCCTTTCTCCTCTGTGGAACCCGGTTTCTAATGAATGGCAGAGAGCTGATAAGGTTAATCACTATGCACTAAGGTGCTATTAATGCAGCTGTCATAAAGGCTTCCTCGGAAAGGTCACCATCACTGAGCAATTAACTAATGGACCATTCTAGATGGTGGAAAACTGTCAGAACTTGGCAGTCAGTCGGCCTCACGACGCCTTAAGAAGAAAGAAGAATTACCGGGAGTCCATGCCTAAAAGTGGAAACCAGCCTTGAAACAAAAAGTGCCTTTTGGATAAGGATAAACGAGTTCTTCCCTTTCCGCACCATTCCTGCATTGTTCCATACAATCTGCTGCAACCTGAATTCCACTCCTCCTAAATTCCTGCGTAATTGGGATTCCTAGAGTTGAAAGGGACTTCTGAGGGCATCTAGCCCAACCCACTCCCAGTGAATTCATTTTGGATTTGAGAACACCCCATTCACTTTTTCTGCAGTGCAGAATCAATGCTCTTTGCACGCTTCACTCAATTTCTTCTTCTAGTTGTGAGGGTGGGGGATGGGGAGGTTCCTCGCAAGTGGAATAGCCTAGGGCCTCTCTTCATCTAAATCTGGCCCTGCTTAGGACGTGCCTATTTTCATTTGAGAAATGTTGGGAGGTATGGAGTTATGCAACCCCCAAGCCAAGGAGATAAGTAACTATACAACCTTTAGAAGACATCTGAAGGCAGCCCTGTATAGAGAAGTTTTTTAAAAAATGTTTAATGTTTTATTATGTTTTATATATGTTAGAAGCCACCCAGAGTGGCTGGGGCAATCCAGTCAGATGGGCGGAGTATAAATAGTATTATTATTATTATTATTATTATTATTATTATTATTATTAAACAAGACAGTCCTATTTTCATCAGAGAAATGTTGGAGGGTATGAATTTCTCCAGCACGCCCTCCTTACCTTAGTTGGTGGGCCCCACTGCCTCCTGTGGGGATGAGTTCCATAGTTCAACTTAAAGCCCTTACGGAGGCATTCAGTCACCTCTCTATCTGATGTTTCAGGCTATGTGCAAACTGTAAAGGAAGATCCTGACAAAGGTCACTGCCCTTGTCTCCCGGAGCCTTGTTAAGGACCTAAAGCAATGTTTCAGAGTCATGGCTTAATCCCCCGCTGAGCTCTGGGTGGGAATTTCAGCCTGGCGGGATCCCTTAGCCCTTTGCTACTGATCTGGAGATAGCCAGGAGGGCGTTCTGGAAGTAGAGCACACCGATAGCCATCAGAGGCTGCCGTCTGTTTGGGGAGGGTCTCCCGAGCTGTAAACCTTTATGGCAACCCCCCTCCCCCAGGCCCTTTCCAAAGCCCAAGCGCCTATCTTGCCCCAGATCTTCCGAGGAGTCAGTTTAAAAAACAAATCCCAGGAGCCATAATTACAGGTAGCCATGCAACAAAGAGCTTGTAATCTTCTGCTTTATCCTGAGGAATTACGTTGCCTCTGCTCTTTGCCCTTTGCATCCCGGGGCTGCCTCGCTGGCAGGCAATGGGGATGCAAGAGGCGGAAGGTGCTGCGATTCTCACCGGGTCTCCCCAGGGGGACAGACCAAAAGCATCCATCACATGGGGATCCCCCCCCCCACTAGTCACCAGCTCCTGGAAAGAGAAGACACAACCGTGCATGTCTGGAAAAACATTGCTCTTTTAATCTCTTTCTAAATGTATTTTCTCCATAAACAAAAACAACAAACATGTGACAATAGGTGCCCGGTATTCATAAAGAAGGCTGATCGCCGAAGAATTGATGCTTTTGAATTATGGTGCTGGAGGAGACTCTTGAGAGTCCCATGGACTGCAAGAAGATCAAACCTATCCATTCTGAAGGAAATCAGCCCTGAGTGCTCACTGGAAGGACAGATCCTGAAGCTGAGGCTCCAATACTTTGGCCACCTCATGAGAAGAGAAGACTCCCTGGAAAAGACCCTGATGTTGGGAAAGATGGAGGGCACAAGGAGAAGGGGACGACAGAGGATGAGATGGTTGGATAGTGTTCTCGAAGCTACCAGCATGAGTTTGACCAAACTGCGGGAGGCAGTGGAAGACAGGAATGCCTGGTGTGCTCTGGTCCATGGGGTCACAAAGAGTCGGACATGACTAAACAACAACAACATCCATTTTCTGAGCTCGTCAACCGTTTGAGCCAGTGGTGGTGAAGCGGTTAGAGTGGTCAGGCTAGGACCTGAGAGAGACCCGGGTTCAAATCCCCACTTGGCCATGAAGCTGGCTGGGTGGCCTTGGGTCAACGGTGACTGGCAGCCGGGAGGTGGCATCCAACAGTATCTGGGGGGGCCCTCTCACCACCTCCTAGTTATTTGGCAATCAAAAATCATAGAATCGTAGAATTGTAGAGTTGAAAGGGACCCCACGGGTCATCTACTCCAACCCCCTGCAACACAAGAATATTTTTGAAAATTCTGGGCCTGATCCAATGAAAATGAGACATGTTTTTACATGTCCCATAAGTTCAAATGGGAGAATTGAGCTTTGAACCACAGGCCTTAAATTTGTTTGATTTTGCTCTTTCTTTTAAAAGTGGGAAAACATTTCTCTCTCTCTATCTGCACCTTGTCAATAGTTTCACGGGCAACCTTTGAACTTTTTTTTGAATGCGGTCTTGTCCGAAACAGAACAATAAGCCAAAATTACAACCAGCTCCTTTTGTTCTGAGAAATACTGTTATCACTGATTGTGCATAAGATATATATATATATTTAGACCTTTGACGGGTGCAAAATATCTACACTGTGTCCCAAAGGAGGCTTTTTTTAACACTGTTTTGTGGGAACTTGCTACTGCTCTCTCCTTCAGATTGATTACATCCCCTCTCATGCTTACAGCTTGCTTGCTTTTGTTAAAAATAAATATGAACATAATATTTTAAAATAATGATGTATTTTGGTGTTTAAATAAAATATTCATAAGAGTTGAGCCAGGCTGAAGTGGAATAATTTTCAACATTTTGATCAGTGTCAAAAACAACAACAAACGCCTTACCCAGTTTCAATGTTTGGTTCAATTGCCCTCACTTGACTTCATGGGGGAGATCTTTGTATGCAATCTCATACAACTTCTTGCTTGATAAATATAATAGATGGTTAATTATCATTTAGCCCATAGCAGGCCGTGGGGCCGGTCTGGGGCATGAGCTTCTACAGGAGTCCAGCAATGTGGACTATCAATGCTGGTCTATCGTTGCATTGCTATATTAAAGGTAAAGCGTAAGAACATAAGATGAGAATACAGGATCAGGCCAGTGGCCCATCTGGTCCAGCATCCTGTTCTCACAGTGCCTGCCCAGATGCCCACAAGCAGGGCATGAGCATAGCAGGACTCTGCCCACCAGCGATTCCCAGGAACTGGAATTCAGAGGCTGAGAATGCTCAGTGGCCATGCAATATTGATGGACTATTGGAGAGAGAAAATAGAAAATTGGGTGAGAAAGAGAAACAGAGAGCTTCATTTCAGGTGTGATTCAATCATATACCTCCTGTGATGGAAAAGTTTGTTTTGCTGGGCAGGCTGGTTCACCAAGTGTTTTCTTTTTCTTTTCCCCTGCCAGCAAACAGTTAACAAACAGCGGCTTCTGATTGGCCAGGGTTCCAGGAGAGGGAGTTGAAAAGCAATAGGTTGGGATTGTGGTTAGGAGATAGGGAGTGAGAGGAGAGAGAGTTGGTTCTGGGTAGAAACATCCACTCTGAGGAATATATCAAAAGCTACAGAAAGGAGTCTCTGACCTTAGTGTGAAGGACAGTGTGTGGTGTCCTATGAGAGTAATAGGCCAGGAATTAACTTGGAGGCTAAGGCTGAGCCAGGAGAAGTAGAAGCTGGAAAGATACAGTCTACTTGGGTCTCATTTCAGCATGGAGGGGAGAGATTCTGCTACAAAAGAGAAGACTCCCAAACCAGTTAAGAGGGGTGTGGTGATCCCTTAAGTCTGTTACTTAGATTACCTCAGGAGTAGGGTTGTCTAAGGGGTGTGTAACTGACAGGAAGTACCACCTTGTTTAAGAACCAAAGTATTAAGTGGCAATAGCTGTGCAACAACTGAGAAAGAACTGAAGTGAAATAACTGGGAATAAGCTGAGCATTTACCCTTTAGTCTAAGAACCTGTAACATCTACCTGAAGTGAAGTAACGGAACATAAGCAACTGAAGTTTAAAGGAAGCTGTGCTTGATTATAAGTCCATAACATCAGTTAGATTTAGTATGAATATTATTAGGTGAACGGTTACCTGAAATAACATTATAACCTGAAGTATCCTTTGTTTTACCCACTTTGTGTCATAAACTTCCTTTGTTTAATAAAATCTTTCTTGTTTACTTGATCCAAATCATTAATTTTCCCTCACACAAGTCCCCCACAAGATAATCTGGGGTAATTTATAGAAATTCATGTAATTGGTGTACTGTGAGGTGGATGCACTATATTTAAATGAGGACAGGCCCAATGGCACCAGAGGAAAAAGTGCCGTTGCACCGTCGCACCTCCCTCCCTGTGGAACAACCTCCAAACAGATGTCAAGGAG